TTTTTTTTTTTTTTTGGCGTGTGTGTATGTGATTGTGTATAGGCTAATTCAGCATCGGGTATGGCAGTTCACGACGACTGCAAACTGAAGTTTATGGAGCTGAAAACTAAACGAACACATCGCTTCATAGTTTTCAAGATTGAAGAAAAACAGAAGCAGGTTATCGTGGAGAAACTCGGAGAACCATCCCAAACGTACGATGACTTTACTGCAAACCTTCCTGCTGAGGAGTGCAGATATGCAGTTTATGATTTCGATTTTTTCACCGAAGAGAATGTCCCAAAGAGCAGGATTTTCTTCATTGCATGGTGAATTCCCTTTTTTTTTTTTTTTGCTGTTCTTTTTAGAATCGTTCTTCACATTTTGTTACCTGACTAGAGAACACTGTTTTAATTATGATCCTCTCTTTTCCCTCTAAAGGTCCCCTGACACTGCAAAAGTGAGGAGCAAAATGATCTACGCGAGCTCAAAGGACAGGTTCAAGAGAGAATTAGACGGCATTCAGGTAGAGCTTCAGGCAACTGACCCAACTGAGATGGGTCTGGATGTTTTCAAAAGCCGTGTCAATTAAAAATGCTTCTGGTGTTGGATTTGAAGTAATGAATACAAAATCTATTGCTCTCTTACTCTCTCTCTAAAGTGATGCCAGTGAGTTGTGACAATGGAGCTGGCAAAAAAGCTTTATGTTATCAGTCTGTGATTGAAGAATTTGAAGTATTATCTTTAGTAGTACCTTGATCTGGAACGAGTTGTGTTGCTTCTTTTATGCTGTTATACGATTCTTTTTCTTCTGTTTTTTGTTTTTGTTTTTAACGCTATTTCTCCGTGTGCGCGTGTGCTATTTCTGTGAGTTACGTACCATAAATTGGATCGATTCATGTATTTCACAAATGTATTCACTTTATCTTGCTTCATAATTCTCATATTATGCCTTTTCTTATGCTGGCAAGATGGAAGTTTTCTTGAAAGAGGTAGTTATTGTGGAGATGTATGAAGTTCAGCTTCGAGTTTCGATAGGTTTATATGCTCATATGCTTGTGGAGTATATTTCACGAATGGTTAGGTTGCATTTGCAGTCAAATACTTTAATTCGATACAGACTTAGGTTGCATTTGCAGTCAAATACTTTAATTCGATACAGAGGATAAGATCGCTACTTACTGAAGAAGTTTCTGGTTTTAACTTTTAACTATGATTTTCTCTAATACATGTTACATCACAAGTTGTGAAAAACCCTACCAAAGCCATCAATTATTCATCTTCCAAATCATTTCTACGCATTCTAACCATGTTCGATTGAACATTGATGATGCTTTGTTTGGAAATATGAAAAGGTAGTGTACTGAATGCGAAGAAACGAATAATCTGTCTGATTTGGAAATTTCGAAAACCTAGTGATGTCAAGAGCAATTTTGCCATCGAATTAGTCCCTAAACTTTGGTGGACTTGAACAATAAATAGACACTTGGAAAGATTTAGAGTAAATTTCATGCAAGGAGAAAATACTGATTTACAGTGACACAAACACCATATCCATGGAGAATCAACGTAGAATAAACGAGGAGATCAACACGACGGGCCTATAGACTTGCACAGCTTAAATGCTCCCAAAATTACATACTCGAAAGTACCTTCAATTTTGGAAAAGGATCGTCTTGATCTGGCCCGTATGTACTTTCCCTCTTTCCCAATTCCTTCACCAAATCGTGACGAACCAACGTGATCTGAAAACCCACTCCATTCTATTCCGAACAAATGAAAAAAAAAAAAGAGACAATGTTAAAATATTTAAAATTACACACAGAGGTCTCGTCTTATATCCATATATGAAAATACATGCATTTGAAAGCAGAAAAAAGTCAAAGGCACTCTGAAGCAGAGTTCTATTCTTCACCATAGAGCTCTGTTTCGTCCAAAACAGAGCAAAATGTCAGGTAAAAAGTACAAATCCTGCTGAATATTGCACTGAAATCCAATACACGCTAGAACTCAATTTGTCTGCATCGACTCTGCATGATACTTGTCCAAATCAGCATCAAGATCCTCAGCAGATATCTTCTCATCACGGCCCTTTCCTCGTCCACCGCGGCCTCTTCCGAATCCACGGCCTCGTCCGCCACCACCACGCTGTCTTCCGAAACTACCCCTGCCTTGTCCACTGTTTCACAGCAATTAAAAGCATGTTAGATAAATAGACATACTTGCTGGCATACAAATCGTACAAGTCTCTGGTTTTTTATCAAGTCAGTGCACAATTTGAAACTGCTTTTGAAACAATAGTCACATCGTCTTTTGTGTTTGCTTGTCAAGAGCTTACAAAAGTTACCAGACGTTTAAAAGCAGTTAGTATCTATTTTCATATTGCACAAGCGTAAGTTGGTTCAAAAGTTACCAGATGTTTTCAGAAAAGCAGATATTACATGGAAAATAAACAATTAATAAATATAATAATGTCCAAATGTTTCAGCTTCCCGACACATGTAACCAAAATGGCCATTTAACTGTTCAAGTTATCGAACAAATTATAGTAAGTTGGTTCCAGTAGTAGTAACATTCATTTAAACAGGGAAATCATGACACAGAAAAAAAATTACCATGATCAATCGCTGCCAAATATGTCAGATCATTACATTCAAAATTCTCTTGTTACTATATCTCAATATCTCAATCCTTCATTGTAAATGTTGCATCTTCAGATATCCATTCATCTCTACTTCTCTTGTTACTAAGTGCATCATGACGTGTGTAAATGCAGTAGCTCCACACAATAAAACGTGCTTCAGCATTAACACAACTAGAATCTTGCTAGGAAAATTATCAATTAATGAGTAAAATGTTTTCGCACTTTGTACAACAGAGGAAGCCCCCAGCTTATTCATGCAAAATTAGATGTGTCAGTAAAAATTAATCAAAATATTGATCCACCCAAAGACATACCTTCGAGGAACAGTATTTGGAGCACCAAAAGCACCAGTAGATGGAAAACCGAGACCAGCATCAGCACCAGCACCAGCACCGACAGTTGGAATATTTGTTCTGACAAGCTCTATCTTCATTGGTTTCCCGTCCAGCTGGACATTATTATACTTTTTGATAGCAGCTAATGCATCTTGTCGTCGGGAGAAGACTACATCGGCAGTACCCTAGAGGAGAACATTGTTCTCAAATAAAGCAGAGGTGAAAAGTTCACCAGAAAGCAAGACTGCTGTTTAATTCGGGAATACCTTAGACCGGCCACTTCTATCATAGTGTACATTGTAGCGCTTCAAGTCACCAACCTCTGCAAACAGTTCCTACAGTTTCAAATTGAACACTTGCCTTACTAAAGGTGGGATGTATAGTAACTTCCAGAAAGAGCAGATGATGATGATGATGGAACTGGAGCAATTTTGTAAGCACCAAATATGGATATCAAGAACTATATACTACCAGGAAAGAAGCTAAAGACCAAGTTTACAACGGACCCAAGGGTAAACCTATAAAGACAACAAAAAGTGAATAGACCAGCAATTCTCAATTTTTTATTTTTATTTATTTATTTATTTTTCTGTATGAGGGGAGCCCAATACCATCTCTTTCTTCGTTGCTCATCCCATCCACAACCCCATCCTCCAGCTACCCCGATATTGTGAGACTAATGATATGTTTAATCAATTTAGCCTACAGAACTTGATATGCTTTAATTTTTTATGCATTTATTTATGTCAGCATTAATTTTGTGTATGATAAATATGTTGATATAAAATTTATTTCTTTGGTCTCAACATGCATTCAATCATATGCTGCAAAGCCATCTGCATTTTTCTGTGATGGGTTGGATCGCTACCATAAGCCGTTATAAACTATGGATAATAATTTTAACATATAGATACATTACTAAACTCTATTATGTTATTAAAACTAAATATTTCTACAGTTATCATAGAGAAGGTATTTTGTAAGAGTAAACCAAGTTATGATTTTGAATCTACGAGTTCACTAACGAGCTTGTTCACGAGTTTACCAACAAACATGTCCACAAGCTAATGGCTGTATATCGCTGAACTTGAATTTGGTTAATTAACAGTCTTATCAAACAACCTCGGGCGCCCTTTAGTCAATTACAGATGTATAGAACTCACTAGATGTTTGGTTCATTTGGACCTCGCATCGATATTTAGGCCCATGAATTCATGTTAACTTCTACCCTGACAGTTGCACGTCAACCTAAGTAAATTACTCTGTAAAGCCATGTATTAACATTCTGGCAACACTGTAAATATACAGAATACATCACAAACAAAATTTTCACAAGTACAAGCTTTGGGTCCACATGAACTGAAACTAAAAAAGAACATTGGTCAGGACGTCTATGGTGAACATGTTACAGGCTACCATCCCAGCGGTAGCTAAAGATTCTAGGCAGGCGCAACAAACCACTAAAAAGATAGAAGCAAGTATTCAAATCAAAATCGCATCTTTAATGAAACAATAAACAGTACCAGGGAATCTTAAAATAAAAACACATGTGCGCTTCAGAAAAATCACCTTAATATCCTCATTTGAGACTCCGTAATCTAAGTTGGAAATGTACAACTTGGTCCCAGTCTCTATGCCAGAAGCCGGAGCTCGACCGCCGCCACCGGAGAACATGTCGTGACCCCAAACTGAATCGGGTGCCTATACCACACCAAGATAATTCATCATTCCAAAACGGGAAAAAAAAAAATGTCGTGCATCATAACTTCCCACTCTACTTGTACGGATCCGAAATAAATAAATAAAAAAAAATCTCAGGAAAAAGAAACATATACTACGCCAAATCTCCAAAAACAAAACGTATCTAGAAGGGATCTGACCTTGGGTGGTGCGTAGGGAGCTGCTCGACTGGCCGATCGATTGGGCTGGCGCCGAGCCGGGCCGGGACCACCACCGCCGCCGCCGCCGCCGCCGCCGCGGCCTCTACCTCGAGCAGCGGATTTTTTGTTGCTTTTGATTAAATCGTCGAGGGACATGTCGAGCGCAGCACCTGACATCTTGGATCCCTTACGAAGTGAGTGTCCGTGCACACAGTGGGAGAGATCTGAGAGCAGAGGTTTTAGGGTTTTGGGGAGAGAGATTTGGGGTGAGGGAATACAGCGCCAAGCCACGGATATTTCAACTTTGCCCAACGCTTTTGTATTAAAAAAAAAAAATAGTACTTTCCGTTTTTAGTTTTCACTGTCGTTTGTTTTAAGAGAAAAAATAAAATTACTATTTCGGTGGTGATATTTCATGCTCTAATTATTTTAGATATTTTTACTGTAGAAGATAGAGAAATGACATATTTTTTATTTTTTTTTTATTTTTTTACAGGGACCTTCCGGTTTCCGGATCCACAGAGGAACCGACTAATCCGAAATGACATATTTTCAAATGCACTGAGAATATGTATGAATATAAAATAAAAATATAATAATAATCAGAAGTTGTATAATATAAAAATTACTATATAAAATTAACCTATATGATTTTTTTTATTTTTTATTTTTGGTACAAGAAGAAGGTAAAGCCTAACGGCTTGAGTTACACACGTTCTGCGAGTAAGAAACACCAATGAGGTCGTGTTCTAACCACGGTCTAACACCATTTGGTGGAACGATAAAAAAGTGATACTCCAAGGATCCTTCCGCGACGAAAGAAGTCAAATATTTGGCTGCAAAGTTCGTTTCGCGGAAAACATGATTTACTTTGACCATCTAGTTTTGACCAAGAAGCTCTTTAATAACCATACCCTGGTACCTCGTCGAACGTCCTAGAAAATCTCGCGACACTCTCATTATCCACTTCAGCCTCAATACTTCTAAACCCCAAGTCCCATGCCAAAGTGAGGCCCCGGAATAATCCCCGTAACTCCGCCGTCATTATCGAGCAGAACCCGATTTTCATTGAAAAGCACCCTAACCAATGGTCTTGCTCGTCACGAATGAGTCCTCCAACACAACCCACACCAGATTATTAGTTAGATGTGCAACTTTTACTTTTCCGTATAATAAATAATGATTTATTTATTTTATTGTGTTAGTTTAAAAAAAGAGATAAAATGAAAAAAAAAAGTTAATATTTTTAATAAATATTACAGAGATAAATATTAATTGATTAGACAAAAAAAAAATAAAAATAAAAATCCAATGGACACCTAATTGCGCTTTGTAAATTTCATTTAGAATTTCTATCTTGTGCCATTTTGATTGAATTACAACGTGTGGTTATCTTGCACTTTTCACTATAGAT